TTAGACGTAGAGTTTTGTTTGTTAAGACACTCAAGGCTTTGCATTTTGCCGGCTTTCTATTTTTTTACGTAGCACCGGTTCATGGGTACTGACGGTGGTAAATGGGCGGCAGGCATCGATCGACGACGACTCGTGACCAAGGAAGGACCGAGGTAGGGCTGAGTATTATGACTGCGCTGTCACGAGTTCCAGTCGATCCTCATCCCGATGCTGGATGGTAGGCGATGACTGTGAAACTGCGATCGTGGCTGCAAGAGCTGCTGAAACGGGCTTTCTACGGCGAATCGCTCGGCTGATGCGTCTTCGAAGAGTCGGGCGTTCGTATGTCAGAGAAAACGTTCGCCCACAACAGCTTGAATACCACAACCGCGATGGTTCCCCTCCGGAAAGGAAGACGGAACGGAACGGTTATCACTTACCCCATCGGCCAGCCGAAGACCTACATGTAGGCATGGCCAAGAATGATGTAGGCAAACGTGTCGATGGACCCCGCTCTAGAGCTCGTCGGTTTTCTTCTCTCGAAGCTCAAACGCTGACACAGGACCGCGAGCCGTTGAAGACGCTGTTTTTCTTTAGTCGTCTGCCTCTGCTAGGACCGGAAGGGATCGACGGCCTTCGAAACTGACTGATTTTTTATTTGATTATGTTTTTTATGTTTTCCGTTAGTCCGTGACCGTTCTTCACTGGTTTTTCGCACCCCCCCCCAGCAAGTCCGAAAGGGGCGCACTTGCTTTCGCTTCGGTTGTTCGGCATTTTTCTTCGACTGGTTCATCTTGTGCTGTTTCTTTGCGTGTTTGAGTGACTCAGCGGCGGTCGGCGAACAAAAGATTTCCCGAAGTCCCCAGACAGCCGTTTCCTAATCATCGAAAGTTGATTGATCTGCTGCCGGAGCTGTTTTCTCTTCTTCTTCTCCTTCTTCTTCTTCTATCGATAGCCCGTGAAAAAATTCCGTTAAGCCGACGTTTAAACGATCCTCATGTTTTCCGTTTTTTGAACAGCTCCAAGGCAGCCGGCCGACCGAAAGAGACAACGGCTAAAACGTCCAAAACGACGCCAAGGTAATTTTTGGGATTCTCGCCGATTAGCGAGCGAGCTGGCACGACGGAGAAGCTTCTTGTTTATGAGCGTTCTTGCGTTAATTGAAAACGATCTTGTGCTCGAGATCCTCTCTTGTTTCGTTTACCGTCCAATTGTTAGACGACGTTCGTTTTCGCTTTCGCTTTCGAACGCGGTTCCGGATTTACGTACCTCATCCTGAGGGTACTACCTCACAGATGTACGTGGCGGAAAGCAGCTGCATGGCTTGTACGGCACTACAGTATGGCAGTTACAACGGGCCATCTTTTTGCTTTTTTAAGCATTCATGCCTCTGAGGGTAGGCAATTACCTCTAGCGCTATGCTAGCTACGTACATGCGGGAAATCGTGGTTCACGTTTCGAACGTGACGTTCAGCTAAATCTGCCGGAGCAACGGCGGTGCAGTGTAAAACTTATGAATACAAAAATCGCTTTCAGTGCCAAATACTTCACATTTTTCCATCTGGTAAGGGCGTACTCGTTTCTGTAGAAAACCTTCCTCGGTCGAGGCTCTTTGGAGGACTGTGGTTACGGCGAAGATACTGCATATTGCTTACTCAACCGGGGCGTTAGTACAGAGTGGAGTAAATGGGCTTGACGGCATTGTGCGAACGACCAAACATGTGCAGCTGACCTGCAGGAGAGGAATTCATGAAACTGATGTACTTTTTTTGGTAGTAACCAGTACGCGTATTCACGTAGTTG